GGTCGATTTCGGATAACTTTTCACATGTTAACTTTATACGAATTATATATTTCTCTAAATTCATTAATAATTGACTAGAATGAAATGAACAACCAAATACATGCCTCTCACGTCTGAAAATATGGATCTAGAATTGGATTTTGGGTTAGGAGTGTTAGGACTTAGTCGCTTAGGGCACATTGTATATTGACTACATTCCATTAATTCATAAATAATTTTTTTTAATATAAGATATATAGTTGGGTTGGCGGGTTGACCCATGAACCCAAACAGGTAACCCAACCCAACCCATGAAATAAACGGGTTGGCGGGTCAGAAATCTCAACCCAAACTCGTTTATTTTCGTTTCGGGTTATGAGATGGGTCAAGAATTGCCATCCTATTAAATAAGAAATATGAAAACTATTAGCTATGATTAAGGCTCCTGCATCGCCTACCAAACTTAAAGTGAGGCTATGTGCAGTCTTATCATACGTTTCAAGTTTAAATACTATACGAGTATCAACCAAAGCCCTTCTCCTCCTGTCATAACATATGCAGTTTTCTAAGGAGGCAAAATCTTTGATTCCTCGATGGAGATCATCGTTTCGTGTTGAAGATGAACATGGGGTACATATATGGATTAGGGTCCTTGGTAATCTATTACCTCATTTCCATATCTAGTTCGAATAAAAAAAAGAGAAAAATACTGTAACATCCCAAAATCCAAGACAAAAAATTTCATTTTAATTTAATAATTATAAAACCATTTGTCTAAAAACATCCATAGTATCAACTCATAACAAAACCAGTGTATCAAATAGTCAAAACATGTCACAATAAAACAACATCAGAGTATAACTCCCAAAAATCTCATGTGCGGAAATCATAGTGTGATGCGCTGCAATCATGCCGACCCCTTTCCTTTTGAAGAAGAAATACCTGAAACCAAAACTGAAAACCATAAGCACAACGCTTAGTGAGTTCCCCCATCATACCACATACCATACAATACACATACTGCCTAGCATATTCGGGTACTGGCTGTAACATCACGACTCCCAAGTATAAATTTTAAAGCTTTATATTCGTATTATTGTGGGAACTCGACGAGTAGGAGGCCCCAACTCGTCGTGTTGAACCCGTTCAGCCCGCGTGGTTTATAGCATCTACTCGACGAGTTGGTGGACCCCAACTCGACGAGTAGAGGTTGTGCATGGAAACCCTAAATTACAGGGTTTTGCACCCTATTTAAAGGCTCATTAGCCCCCTGCCTCTCTTATCGCCCCCTTGACCTCAGAAAACCTTAATCGAGTATTACTCCTCATTTTGTGTGTGTGAAAGCTTAGAAGGTGGTTTTAGTGAAAGAAACTTGAAGATTCAAGAGCTTGCATCAAGGAGAAGCTTGTAGATCCAGTACCTACTCCGTCTTGGCTTCCATTTGAAGGTAACAAGTTGTTACCTTGATCATTATAGTGTTAGATCTCCTCATTCAAGGGTTTTAGGCCATTTCTAGCATATTTGTGGGTCATTTATGGTATTGAGCATGATCTGAAGTTGTAACTTCAGATTTGGACTCCTCTAAGCCCTCATGGTCATAAAGTTATTAAATTTATCAAGCTTTGTCCCTTCTCTTTGGCTTAAACCTCTTCCTTTGCTTGGTTTTGGCATTTAAGGCCTTGCATGCACGTAAAGTTAGCAACTTTACGTAATAACTATACCCTAGGAGCCTAGATCTACAGTTTGGAGCTTTGGTTTCGCTTAAAAGCGTCTGAATGAGAAATAGACTGAAGGAACTCGACGGGTTACATAGTCAACTCGACGAGTTGGATGAGGGTTTCCCACTTTCTGGATTCTGCATGAACTCGACGAGTTAGCAAGGTGAATCGACGAGTTGGTTAGGGTTTTCACGATATTTTGGACATTTCATGGACTCGACGAGTTGTTTGGAAACTCGGCGAGTCAACTAGGGTTTTCGCGATTCTTTGAGTTCTGAAGGAACTTGACGAGTCACTAAGCTGCACTCGACGAGTTGGGTCAACATGGACTGTTGACCTTGACTGTTGACTTTGACCTTGACCAGTGGTTGACCAAGTGTGACTTCTGGGGGTATTTGGTAATTTATGGATTTGGATCAATGGTGGTTGTAGGTGGTTGAGTTTGGAGTCGTGCTTCGGGAGTTGATCTTTCAATTCAGTACAGTTTGACATTTTCATCCCGAGCTACTTGTGAGGTGAGTTCTTCTCACTATATCAATAGGGTCTAAGACACCAAGGCCGACCCTTTATGATTTGTATCCTGATTATAGGATGATGCTATGTTAGTGATCTGTTAGATCTGTATCCTGGTTATAGGATGATGCTATGTTAGTGACCGGTTAGGTCGGTATCCTGGTATGCATGATGATGCTATGATTAGTAATTTGTGTAGATCGGTTTGACTGTTTGTATATGCTAGCATTTTGCTGTCTATGTGTTGATTTTATGATTGGGGGTGGGTTAAGGCGGACCTGCTTTGTGCTATAGGCCAACATACCCAGGGCGGCCCGGATAGACTGCATGCCATGGGGGCATATCAGTCAAGACGAAGGCCCGGAGAACGGTCCAGATAGGCTGAAGGCCCGGAAGGGCGGACCAAACATGTTGAAGGTTCTAAGAGTGGGCCAGATAGACTGAAGGCCCGGTGCGGGCGGTCCAGTCATGTTGAAGACTGAGAGTGGACCAGGTAGACTGAAGGCCCGGTGAGGGCAGACCAGTCGTACTGTAGACTCTATATATGCATGATGTTTGTTATGATATGGTTTGTATGGCGTTGGTATTTTGGGGGAACTCACTAAGCTTCGGGCTTACAGTTGTTGATTTTGTTTCAGGTACTTATGATGATCGCGGGAAGGCGAAAGCGTGATCGTGCACCTCCTTATATTTTTATGATTTGATTTTGGGATACTATGACATGGAACTATTTTGAAAACAAATTTGTAATAATTATTGGTTTTTGAATGATTTAAAAAGTTTTAAATTGACATGATTTTTATGGGTGTTACACTGGCCTACCCCTTCAGTCTCTTTCAACCGGTAACTGCCTAGCATATCAGGGTGCTGGCCTATCCCTTCGGTCTCTTTCGACCGGTAACTGCCTAGCATATCAGGGTGCTGGTGTAACATCCCAAAATTCATAGCCAAAAAAATTCATTTTTAATAAGTAATCATAAAACCATTAGTATGAAACATCCATAGTGATAACTCATTTCATAATCAAAAACCAATATTTCAAATAATAAAACATGTCATAGAAAAGTATTATGAGGGTACAACTCCCAAAGATCTCATAATGCGGAAATCATAGTGTGATGCGCTGCGATCCTGCCGGCTCCGTTCTTTTTGAAAAATAAGTACCTGAAACCAAAACTGTAAACCGTAAGCACGAAGCTTAGTGAGTTCCCCCATCATACCACACACCATACAAATAACATATTGTCATGCATATATGGTTGCCCGACCTACCCCTTCGGTCTCTTTTAACCGGTAACCGCCTAACATATCTGGGTGCTGGCCTACCCCTTCGGTCTCTTTCAACCGGTAATCGGGGACTATTTCACCCCCTACCACCACCACACAATATCCTAGCCTATACATATAAATCACATACTACCTAGCATATCTGGGTGCTGGCCTACCCCTTCGGTCCTTTCGACCGGTAATCGGAGACTATTTCACCCCTACCACTACTGCATAATAACATATCATAAACATACTACTAGGCATACCTGAGTACTGTCTACCCCTTCGGTCTCTTTCAACCGGTAACCGGGGACTATTTTACCCCTCCTACCACTATCACATAATATCATAACATACTAGCACATAAAGCATAACAAATAGTGGCATACCAGACAATTATCACAAAGACAATCATCTCTACTCTATACTCCTACTAGTGGGCCGACATTGGTGCCTTAGACCCACTTCTATTGGAAGGTAACTCACCTCGAATGCTGAAGCTCGCTGTCCGAACTCCCTAGCTGCTGCCTTGACGACTTCCCAAACTAACAATTTCCAACACAATATCCAATTAGCAACTAAGTTCTAAACCATGAACCATAATCCAATCTTGGGGTAAAATGACCATTTACCCTGGCCCAACAAGACCCATAATTAAGGCCCAAGCCCAAAACCAATAAGGTCCAAAACCATAAGATCCATAAAAGCCCAATATATGGCCCAATTTCCAATTGGGCCCCATCCCTTCGCATGGGCCTCATCTTAGGCCCAATAATGCTTCTCTAGTCCAAATGGTCCAAGTCAAAGTCGAAGTCAACGCTCCGAGTTGACTCAACTCGTCGAGTTTTCTCTTCAACTCGCCGAGTTCTCATAAATCTCAAAATCGTGGCCCAATAATACTAGAGGCGGTCCTGCTTTGTGCTGAAGGCCAAGATACCCAGGGCGGTCCGGATAGACTGAAGGCCTGCGAGGCGGACCAGTCAGGCCAAAGGCCCAGAGAGCGGTCCAGATAGGCTGAAGGCCTGGTGAGGCGGTCCAGTCATGCTGAAGGCTCTGTATGCATGTTGTTGTTTGTTATGTTTATGTGGTGGTACTTTGGGGCAACTCACTAAGTATTGACTTACAGTTTTAGTTTTGTTTCAGGTAGTTCGGAGGATCGTGGCAAGGCGAAGGCGTGACCGTACACATCCTTGGTTTTATGTTGTTGATCTTGGGAGACTTTGATTTTAAATAATGTTTTGGAAACAATGGTTTTGTAAACACTTCTTTTTAATAAATGGGTTGTTTTGAAAAGTTTAGGTTTGTTGTGATTTTTGAGATGTTACCGTACATGTTTCTCTTACTCAAACAAGAATTGATATGAGTGAACTTGATGATGATTCTAATGGTTTCCTTCAACCTTATGTGTGTACCCTTGTATTGGTTTTTCAATATTACCAATTTACTAGAAATTAATCATGTTTCTTAAAACTTTAGTTTTATTTTAATTTCTATGAGCATTGTATATCTGTATGACAGGAAATGGAGGCCTATATTAGAGGTCTTATTCCTAATTTGGCTCAGCTTTGTGACATGCCTACAGAATTTGTTCAAATGTATTGCCACATAGCTGCACATAAGTTCTTCTTCTTTTGTGATCCCAGTAGGCGAGGTTTGTCACTCTTATTTCTCTTTTTTTTTTTTTTAAATATCTTACAATTTTCAATATGGTATCTTATATTTAAATTTGTCTTTAGGTCATTTCATTGTTCATCTTTGAAGAATTATCTTATTCACAAGGCTTTCATTGTTCATCATTGTTCATAAAGAAGATTTTGCTCAGTAACCAACTAATGGATGTGCACGAGGTTTTAATTCAATCCTTTTTACCTTTTATTCTTTTAATAAATGAATACAATTAATATTATTGTTTAGAGTTTCAAAATGGATAACTTTATCCACTGTTAATTGTAATAGGAAAGTGAACAAGGTGATGCCGAAAACACCGAGAACTGGATATCATGACTGCAAAATGCCCAAAGGCCAAAAAGAAGAGCAAAAACAGAGGAGATGTAAATAGAGAAAAGTTAAAAGTATACACAGTCATTTGATTTCCTTCTTTATTCCACTACCTTTTCCATTTTGTTAAAACCACCACTTCCATAAAAAAAGTCAAACTGACCAAAATACCCCTACCTTAAACCTAAAAAACACCGACACTTTGTTAGGTAAGTACCAATTTCATGATCTTTCATTTAATCCCTTCATACTAGAAAAATATGATTCATTTAGCCCTTGATTTTGAATATTAATTTAGAAAAAAAGGACATCGAAAAGTAGTAAACTATTTTGTGACATGGCTTTGTGAAACTTTGTACACATGTGATGGCTAAAAGGACAAATGTCCCTGGAATGAAGCACTTTTGTGGGAGACGTTTCAATGCTTATAAGGACTACAAAGGATTTAGGAGGCCATATGCACCTCCTTATTTCTGTTCCCCGTATGGATGAGGGTTAACTTTTCATATTCCACTTCAACAAATAACAACCTATTTTCACATATTTGTTTGTTTGTTTTTCATTTCTTCATATTACAATAATGTATCAATTATAACATTGTTCAATTTTTTAGTGATTGGGCTATTTTTTTTCCAATTTGTTTCCTTCCATATGATTATTTTTTATGTTAATAGTTGTTTTATAATGTGACTGTCTTAAAATTGGTCTTTCATATTGTTTCAGGTGTTTTGTTTGTTTGAAGGTGAAACAAACATCAATAGACAAGGACTGATAAAGACAAACTTGGTTACGGGAACTGAATGTAACAACTCCCATGCCACCGGGATCAGAGATGAAATTTTAATTTGAGAACATGATAATAGGACAATCTATACCTTCTAATTTTATTCCACACATTGACAATCATGTTGTAAATTCTAGGAAACTTGCTTTCAAAAAATATCCAACCCGTGAAGCGCACAATAATCTTTTATGTTCATTTATTAAGATAGAGAGATCTTAAAGCTTGTTTTAAACTCCACTGCGAAATACTCTCAAAACGACGTCCATTGTCTAGTGGGCCCAGCTAAATTGGTGGTTATTATATGGAAATTTCTTAATTTTATTCTATTTTTGAAATACAAACTTTTAAAAATGACAAATTTTTCGAGTTAGAAACAATATTTTAATAAAAACGTGGTTATAGTCGATAAAAATACGGATGAGCTTTTAGAGCTTTTAGATTTACAAATCTGACCATGACTAGTTAATGTAAATAGATGATGAAGGGAGCTGCATTACATTACCGATTGCTTTTGACCATAAAAGACAACAGTCTGCTCCTTCCACAGTCATTTTCGTCACCCACGCGCACCCCTATCCAAGTGTACTACACACCCCACCTTTACACGCGTACACTCTCACGTGCCACCATCCGGAACAGACATATAATGGAATTCAATTCGTAAGCGGGCCCCTTCCTTCATCTCATTCCCATCCCCACCAAAAAAGTGAAATATGTGAGAGAGAAAACACACACACACACTTGCACCAACGTTTGCAGAGAGAGTTCCAAAGCCTCCAATTTTTATTTCTATCTTCAATCCATTTCCGTACGTTACATTCATTCTCGGTTTGGAAAATTATTTGGTGAGTTTTTAGCTTTTTGTTTCTGTAATCCTTTTGATATACTTGGCTATGGAATATGGATTTTGTTATTTGCATGTTTTGTGTGCGAGGCCTTGGGAGTTGAACCTGATTGTTTGTAGTTAGCGAATTCTGCTTATCATCATTAGCATTCTTAATAAAAATTAAACGAAGATGAGGATGAAGAGAGTTTGAGCGAACTTTGTTTCTGTAATTTGTTTCATGTTTGTGCCGTTCGTATTCTGTTTGATTTTCTGGCAAGTCGCGGGGGTTACTTGTCAACCTGCTATGTATCTTTGAGGTATTTTGTGAAAGAACTGCGGGCTGTATGGATAGAATGATTGTTGATGTCTACTGCAAACAAAAATATGTATAAAATTTTTATGTGAACATGATTAGGTTTGGCGAATAAAGGGTAGTGATTTCCTGGGGTTCTAAGAGAGGACATGGTAGATATAATAATTAGGTACTTTTGGATGGGGAAAATTTCTTGTGTTCTCGGGTTAGCTCTTTTAGGGTAGTGTTTGTTCTTGCTATGTTAATGTAATTTGTATCCAGGAGTTATTCTTATGTGTAAATGTGTTATGTAGGGGATTTAGTTGTTCATATTGGCTTATTGCAGAAAGAAATTATTTGAAGTGCCAATAGAAGTCTTACCTGTAATTTGTTCTATATGAAATTACCAATGGTTCTCTTGAAGGATATGGTAAAAGCCTAAAAGGCCAGGCGCTCTTGAAATGTGTGAAAGAGACAATACTTCACAAAACATAGTTACAAGGTAAAATTATAGGATGGTTAACACTTAACAGGGAAGATATAGGAGTTAGTTGAAACAATAAGTAGAAGATTGTGAATATTGTATATGTTGAAGTTGAGCTGCTCAAGTAATCGAATTAGAGAGTGTAAACTCTTAAGAAGATGAAACGCAAGCTTTAAGTACCGATATTCAGTTCATGTTTATAAAAAGCTAAGACACGTGATAGTTTTTGTGATGCATAAGAGCTTGAAAATGATGCCGTTAGGATTAAATGATAAAAGGGATAGAATCATACATGTTTATATAAAACCAAACATATATAAGAGCCTGAAAGTGATATACTTAAGATTAAAGGATAAAAGGGATATAATCATATTGGCTAGAAGATCTTTAGGAGATCTTAATGGTCATGCAGATAGAGATAGTAGCTGCTTTGAATGAATTTATTTGTGTTAATAAGAGTCAAGAAGAAGAAATTGTACATTTTATAGTAACTTAAGATTTGGTGGCTTGGAAACAACTTCAAGAAACATGATTCTCACATAGAAAGGTTTGTACTAGGCAAATATAACATGTAATCCATGACTATATATTATTTTTTGTTTCTTCTTTTTACAAGAAGGCCATGAAAAAGTGTATATGTTATATTCTAAAATCCATCTACATTTCATCTCAAGTCAACTTTCTCAAAAATTTACAGCTACTGCACTGTCATTGTATCAGATTGCTTAATTCTGTACTTTTTTTTTTTTTAAATATTTTGGGAACTCATTCGTTGCAGTTATGGCCGGGAGCATTAATGAGGTCATCAGGTGTATGCTTCATGAATATCAGTTTTAGCATATTATTCCTCTCAATAGCCATTTTAAAGTATCAACAGTTGACAAGCTTGAATGATTGGTAGTAAAATGGTGCTGACATACAAGAGGAAGCGGTTCTCTTCAAGACCTGGTTTAGGGTTTGAAAATGAGTGCCCTGATCAATCTTCTGGATGTGAAACTTTACAAGTACTGAAAACATCAGTCACAGAAGAAGATTCAAAATATGAATCCGAGAGAAAAGATCCAGAGGTAATTCTTGTATCGAGTTTCTGTTATTTCAGTTTAATGATATAGTGAATTTATTTTTATTTTTTAGTATAGACTTGTGGAACACACATGCTAGTGTCTTTCTGCCATGCTTGTTCTTCTCTTGATTAAGCCATTCTTTATTTCCAGCTAATTTGTTCTGCTCTTGATTTTGTTCAATAAATTCTGGTGTTTCATAAGAGTTGTATTTTATAACTGTTTTTCTAGGACTTGTTGGCCTCATATTGATATGAAAACTATAGGAGTGTGAGTTATGTTACTATGTTAGTGATACTTCTGAGACGAAGTTACCACTACATTCTTTCTGGCCATAATCATATCCCCATTACTTGGTTCTTTCTCAACTAGCTGTTCAACTTTTGTGCAGATATTGAACCCATGTTCTGTATATAGTGGTGGCAGCATTGCAGTCCAGTGTGACAGCATACAGGACACGGGGAACTCATCATCTGAGATGGTTAAAACAAATGTGGACATTGCTTCAGATCCTTGCAGTTTGGTATCTGTAAGTGGACAGGTCAACAATGAATCTAGTTTAGAAGCAGTTGACTTACCCTCAAAGGGTAAGTCTGCAGACACAGTGAAAGGGTTCCCGTTGATAACATTCAGTCGCAGATCCAGACACAAGAAAGCTGTGGATGGGAGTGGGTCAGCTGTTTTGGAGAAAGATGATCTACCGGTGACAAGTGGTAGTAATGCCACAATGAATAATGGTGTTAATGTACATCTTTCAACAGATTTTACAGGAAATGATCCTAATTCTAGATGCTGCATGGCAAGTCAAGAAAAGGTAACCTATTTTACTTAAACTTGAAATGCACTTTGTTTTTTTTTTTTTTTTTTGCTTTTATACTTTATAGGTTATTCACTTGTTAGTCCTGTGTCTGTTTTGATGTTGAAAGTCTACATGAAAATATTGCTGGAAGTAATTTCGTTTTAAGCCAAACAATGACATCACCTGAAAACTGGAGATGCCTCCTTGGGAACCAAAAACCAGGAGTTGCTCCATATAAATCTCCTCAAGAATTGCATTCTTAATGTCCAGCTGATACACATGTAGTGATGCATGCCAAGTGCCAAGTGCCAACTGCCACCGGACTAAAGGTCTCATCATAATTTTGAGCACACATTTGTAAGTTCACCTATGGCTACCACCAATCTAGTCTCTCATGTGAATGTGCAATACAGTTTGGCTTTACACCCTCTTACAAGTTACAACCAACAAGGATATTTTTTGGGTGGGAATTCCGGTCAACATCAACCTACTTCTTACTGCCAAGTAGAGTAAACCTTTGACGTGCATGCATCATAGGATAGTTTCAAGTACTTGCGGTCTATGATCCATAAGGCGGTCAGGAAGGGGGTGTTGACTGTTGAGGACATTATCCATTGAATAAAGGGGGGAGTTTTGTGTGACTAGGTCCCGCTGAAACTGAAGGGGAAATTTTAAGGACCAACCATGTTGTATGGCGGATGGAAACTGTCTCTCTTTACCCCACCATACATGATACATCTAACCTCCCCCTTACCCCATTCATTATGGGATTTTTTTGGTATTGTTGCTGTTGTTGTATTGTAGATACGATTAAGGGATCATGTGCCTTGGCTAAAACGAAGGGAAATGGGCTAATGAGTAATGAAAATATCAGGGGATGAATTAGGGGGTGCCAAGCATAGCGTAGCAGATGCAAGGTATCCTGAGATAAGGGTCATGAGACCTACACCACTTCTAAGATAACCAACAAAGATACACCTTAGCTCCCACTTTTTTGAACATAGCAAACATAACAGACGCAACCAGGTGGACTTTTGAGTCAACTTTATGGGCTAATGAGTAATGAAAATATCAGGGGATGAATTAGGGGGTGCCAAGCATAGCGTAGCAGATGCAAGGTATCCTGAGATAAGGGTCATGAGACCTACACCACTTCTAAGATAACCAACAAAGATACACCTTAGCTCCCACTTTTTTGAACATAGCAAACATAACAGACGCAACCAGGTGGACTTTTGAGTCAACTTTATGGCCAAATAGAACGATAACAGTGATATCTAGATCATTTGCTCCACTTTTAGGTATTGTTATAGGAATCCAGTTATTAGTGCTACCTTTAATTTGTCATCCATAATGTCCAATAAATTAATTGATCCAGGAATAATAATAACTATTTATGCAACTCTTCCTTTAATTCAAGCAAAGGAGTGGGACACATGGCATCTTTGTGGTATTATTTGCTACACAGAAAGGAAAGTGAGTATTTCACCACAAGTCCTCGCCAGAAGACTTTTTCGAACTAAACCTGACTGAGACCTGTCTATCCAAAAAGCCTAACCAAAACCAGAGCCATAGAAAACCATGGATAGGGCTCTATCATGCCCAGGAAGTTGAAACCTACTGCCTGGATACTATACTAGACCAGTGGATTTTTGATGTTGATTATGCCAGAAAATAATGAAGTCCGAACCACAATTTTTCCTTAGTGGATAAAATCATGTCATGTGACATACCAATATACCATACCACTTGACTTGACCCAGTAACCCCTTTCAGCATGCTTCACTCCCATCATTCATCAACCCGAGTATACATGCCAGTTCATGTCCAGCTTGTTCCTTGGAATCTGGAGGTAGGCAATTCTAGTAATTTTTCTTTGATCCACATGTTTGGTTTTGTTCATCTTCATCATGATTTTGTTGCTATTTCGATAGTAGCTTTGTTAGATTCATTCTTCCAGTAATTAGAATTTTTAAGTCTTTAAGCATCCTCTAAGTCTAAGAAGCCATATTCCTTGATATATCCATTGGCATATTATGCAAAGGATAACATATTATTTGATACACAACTTCCATATCATGAGTTGTTGGAGCATTCACCATACCATCTGCCGCCAATCTGATATGATGTGCTGTATGCAAGATAGATATATTGGCAAACTAAATGCTTCATTTATGAGATGAAGAATGATACCAATATTCTTTTTCTTGATCATGCATGCGATTTCCATTCTAGTAAATATCTCAATGGACTAAGATCTTTGACTTTGGTATTCTCTTTATAACACAAGTTTTAGTTCATCAGTTTCTAGTATGTAATCTCTGTCTGGTTAAGATGATATAGAGACTTGTTGTATATAGTGACTTGCCCATCCCCATCGTGAGAATGCTTGGTCAACATTGTGTGATCGGTTAGGGTTACCTGTGGATGCTTTAACTACATAAAATCATGCTGAAAGCGGTTGCTTCCTATTTTGAGTGACTCGGTCAAATTGACATTTGTTCAGGGTAGATAAAAACTAATATTTTATAGACTTGTTCCTTTGAATATCAGTTTTGGTACATGTTTAATCTTTTATTGGAAAAAGAAAAACCCATGCGAATTGACTTGAGGATGGCCGTCATTGAAGTAACAAACCAGGAATTGGAATAATGGAATATGAAGGAATTGAGTTCTGTCATGCATGCGTTTGCATTTGCATTTGGTTGGCAGGATATCATGGAGAGGTGAGAGGCATTTGCTTGTGATTAAAAGGGTATGTATGTAATGTGCGTATTTTCAACAAGAGGAACTTTTAGGATGGGATGGGATATTAAAATCCACCAGTCAAGGGATTTTGTCTTTGTGGATTACAAACAAATGCAGGATTGGAATGGAGTTGAATTCCAGTTCAGGACCAAATGCCCCTAAACATAAATAAGAAAAACAGAAACATTGACCCTTATCTCTTTTGGAATTCTTCTTTCACAATAGAATTAAAACTAAAGTAAAGTGACTGATAAATATTGGATGCAGAAATCATAGATAGATTGATTGATTACAGAAGAGCAGATGGTTGGCCAAAAGGCAAAAAGCAAAACAACGACCAGACCAGACCATCAGACTGGAAGAAATTATCCAAGAATATGTTGTCCCAAAGTTGCAACGTTTTACGTTTCCATTTCTTACGAGTCTTTTGTATTTTTGTTTGTAGTCTATTTGGTTTATTCTTTCTCTCATATGATATAATCTCTATTTAATGATTGTTTTCACTTTTTATTTTTTATGACAGAAAACGAGCGAAGATGTTGTTGATCTTCCCGTTCCTAAAATTGAAATGTATGTTGAATATTCTTCTTTTTTCTAAATGCTACCTCTGTCTGTCACATCATCATATTCTCACTTCCCTTTTTTAGCTGACTTCAGCAATGATAGAGCAAGTAGTGAAGAGTTGGTCGCTGAAAAATGCATATTAAAGGACAACTTACCCACCATAACAAAACCAACATCAGGTAAGAATCATAAAAAGTATACTATTTTCTTGTATAGTAATGATTGTGACTTGTGATGGATTAATGGAGCTAGGAATGCCACCAATGGATGCAATGTCTCATGTGGGTCTGGGAACTTTAAAAGATAAACAGCCGGAAGCATCAGAAGCAGTAGACGAATCACGGATCTTATCAAGTGATGGAGTTACCACCGCCACCGCCACCGCCACCGACAAGAAAAGAGATGGGGGCTCGCTTGCTTCTTTTGATTTGTCAAAGCCTCCACCTGGTTAGTATGCTTTGCTTAAACTTAACTTGTAACAAAACTAAACTAGCGTTCGATATGATTCAATCAGAGAATGGTTTATTACTTTATTCTATTGGAATGAAAAAAAAAAACTGTTTGTTTTGTCTGTGCTCGAATGGAGTAGACCATTCATTCCATTCCTTAGCCAAGGGGTGTGTTGTCAACAGTGCATCATGGAATGGAATGAAAATTGCAATATAACCCGTTTTTCTTTACTTAATCTTAATTGACACAAATTATACTTTTAAAATTTTCACGATAATAATAAAATTACAATTTTATACTTTTGGTCCTTGACTATAGCTGATTTTTGCAATTTTGGTGCCGAAAAGGTATTTTCTTGCAGTTTTGCTCCTTATTGAGGTTCTTGTAACATTCTTCTTCACTGTTTTAGTTGATATATATGACTGCTTTTGTTCCATGACTATAACTGATTTTGCAGTTTTGGTCCCAATAATAATATAAGCCATTTTACTTGGAACAAGGACAAAAATGTTACAAAAACCTTAATTAAGGATCAAAATTGCAAAAGAAAACTTTTTGGGACCAAAATTGAGAAAATCAGCTAATATTCAGGGACCAAATTATAATTTACTTTCTATTTTTTATTTATTAAATTCTTATTCGGATTTTAATGAGCCTTATTATGTTCATTTTTTTTTTAAAAATTTTTGTAAACAAAAAAATCATTAAATATAACTAAATAAAGTATAGTGTAAAGTAAAACTGTATGTTGTATTTATATATAATATAAAAAATCATATGAAAATTCACTATGATCCTATAAGCCAACCAAACATAATTATAGAATGTCATGAGTTATTCCATTACATTGCTTATTCCAATATACCTTCCATTCGATTCCTTCGTCATTCTATTCCATTCCATTCCTGTTAGTGTATCTCACATCGGTGCAACACAGTCTTATAAGTGGTTATATATGTTGGAGTTTCCCTTCTCTCCACAAGGGCTCTTTTAGAGAGTTAATATGGGGCTCCACATATATTTACAATTCCATTCCATCTAATCAAACAGTTGGCCACAAAAAAAGAGGAGGTAGAATCAAATTTGAGGTCAAAGAGACTGAACTACCAACTTTTCACAATCCCAAGAAATCTTTTCGATTACAAAATATAGATAAATCACATTAGATTCTATAACAAATACATGTAGACGTGGGTTTGAATTTGCTGTGACTTGTTATCACATTTCATTTCGATTCAATGAATTATTGGTTTTGTTTGGAAGTTAATGAGTAAACATGTTTCTGAATTGTATTTGTGATTTGTGACTCAGAATCAGGTGGTTTGGTGGTGGAATCTAGCTCTAATATACAAGTTGAAAATAATATGTCAGAAACTCATAGAGATTCAGCTGACTCTACCAGCAGAAGTCACTCCACAGTTTTGCATGAGTTTCCTTGTCAAGGAAAGGTACTGAAATTGCTTGATGAAAGAATCGGGGATGGGGAAACTCCTTTATCTCATTCTCAGGTACACCACTCTGGTCCCACTAGCAGCCACATGTGGGCTGCTGACCCCCCTTCAGCATCCATAAGTCAAAGTCAAACATCAAAAAAGAGCTTCCTTCAGGTATGATTATTACTCTCACTATCTCTAAGAAAAATGCAACAGTTATTGAATTGGCTGGCACTTGACCTGAAATTGCATGTGTATTTGACTAATAATCAAATATCTAAGATTTGTTTTGGGATAGTTCTTTGCCTTGGATGTGACAAATTAATTCATCATATTTTGCTATATAAATTATTGTTGCAGCTTTTTCCGGAAGACAGAGTCCTGCCATTAAAAGAAAAATCCTTCACATCAAATGGGAAACATCTGCACTTCCGCACCTCAACAACACCAACACCAACACCAACACCTTCCACTTCCACAACCCCTTTCGGTTTAGGTTTATCATCCCCATGGCCACCCACACCAGGGGCAGGGGGACACTACCCCTACCCGTCCGACTCGGTCTCCCTAATGAGACACAAAATGATGCTGGACAACATTATAAGTAAAGCAAGGATCATAAGTGGTAAAAAAGAGAATTTCACGTGGTCGGAGGACGAACTTGACTTTTTATGGATCGGTGTAAGGAGACACGGGATCGGAAACTGGGATTCCATGTTACGCGATCCCCGACTTCATTTCGCATACTCGAGGTCCCCGAGGGAGTTGGCTGAGCGGTGGGAGGAAGAACACTCAAAGCTTTTAATTACAAAAACGCCCCCCTCGCAAAATAAGCGGTTTCGACCTACGGTTTCCAAGAAATATGAAGAACCACAACAACAGTTGTCCCTTGGTGTGAAGGGGAACTTACCTCATTGGCTCTGGGAAGCTGTTAGTGTTCCACCTTCTGTTTCATACACGGGTCAATCTGGAATGATGCACTGGATTAACCAACCGTTTTCGGGACCACAAGGTGGGACCCGTTTGCCTGACCCGATGGTATTGAATGGGTCGGGTGAAGTAATTGGGCCCCACCGTTGCGCTTCTGCTTCTGCTTCTGGTTCTGTTGGGAAAGTGGATGAGGTGATTGTGATAAACAGTGATGCGTCTTCTGAGGAGACTATATCCGATGATCATAGACAGTGTTAGTTAGGGGTTAGGTGCAGGCAGGGTGAGTAGACTTGTATGGATGTTTGAATCGTGTACAGGTCAAATCATGTTTGGATTTGTACGTTGCTATGGATATGGATATGGATATGGTAGTTTTTGAACTAACTAATTAGTTGTTTTTTTTTTCAGGGGCTAAATGCAACAAAATACGAACATACTTTCATATATTTGATTATTATAACATGTAATAGTCTCATTTTCGGCTCGAGTTAGGGCCACTCCTGCCTTAGAAAGTTAATACAAAGATAAACTATGCCGAAGTTATCTCAAATTATGCAAATTTTACAACAAATAATCAAAGTGTAACTAAACCTAAATTTAATCTAGTCTTGTTACAACCATTGTTAACCATTAAGTATTAAAGTACAGATAATAGAAACTCAAATAAAACATTAAAATAGCCGTTCAACACACGATTAACCAATTAACTCTGTATGTACTTAAAAAAAGGTAATGACATACACGTTTTATTTTTATGTAGTAGATTGAAGATCCATATATTAAAACATAAACACTAAAAACCAATGAGATGCCATTTTATGGCAATTGCATCTTTTAAATTAAAAGCAACAACATTGAGTTAAATAAACTGTAAGAACATGACTAATATGTAAATAAAAAGCTAGCACTCATAATTTAGAAAATGCCATCTAATGCAAGTATCATTCTATATATATATATATATATATATTAAATCTAAAGGAAGTTAGTAACTTTTTATGTCTTTAGGTTTGTGCCACAAATGTTTAGTGAATTTGACATTTTTAGTCCTTAAAGTGAAAACTTTTACAATTTTGTGTTTTGATTAAGTTTTTGGGCTTTTAGGGTTTTGCTACAAATCTTTAGTAACTTTGACACTTTTCGTCCTTGCAGTGAAAAGTTTTATATTATGGTGTTTTTGCCATAAATCTTTAATGAAATTGACACTTTTCGTCCTTATAGTCAAAACTTTTACATTTTGACATAAAAAACACAAAAAACCTCCTTTAGAATTTTGCCACCATATTTTCTCAACTTTGGCAACTTTCACATTATTGCCACAATATTTTTGGATTTTCTCCACCAGTGTCCCTTCTTTTGGTTGTCGTACACTTTGGACATCTAATTTTAGGGGTTGTCGACTTTCTCTCCTATTTGCGGTGATTTACACTTTCAGCATGTATTTTTTAAAGTTTGCCGATTTTCTCCATATTACCCCAAAAGCGGCGTAGCCGCGAGTTCTTTGCTAGTTAATATTAACTCTTGCAAACTAACAATTTAGACAACATTTTTTGCTTGCACGGGTTCAACCTAGGTTTTTAGCAAAGATGTTTTGATATCCTAGTCAGAAATAAATAACTAAAAACTCACTCATTTATGATTGACCCACTCTCTTCACTGGGTCACGGTCCAACCGATTTGACTGACAGGTCAACTCGGGTTTTAAAACATTGCTCACGTGTGAAATGCTGCACCTCAACCGCTAGGCTCCAAATCACAGCATAGTTTCACAATATATGTCATGCAAAATAGGTCGAAAGAAATTCATAAATTAAGCAGTTTGGATAGTAAATATCCAACGACGAATAGAATAAGCTAAATAATTAATTAAAAAAATCTTGAAAAATACGTATCATGAAACCCAGTTTAATGTTTCGTGATTTAAGTACATGGGTTTCACAAATCACAATACTCAAGAGTTTTCGGTAGATTAAATTTGTTAGGTTTGATAGATGCTGCATTACTTAATTCGATGTCATTAAGTATCGAGAATTGACTATATATTGATTCCACAAAACATCCCCAATGTTGCACTAGAGAATAATGATTATACGGTATTAAACAAATACAAAAAAGTTAAATATTTGATAGGATGCCTTATATAATAATAATAATAATAATAATAATAATAATAATAATAATAATTATCATTATTATTATTATTATTATTATTATTATGTCATATTTGTGATTAGTTCCAAAAAATAAAAAAAGAGTAAAAAAATAGGTTAAAGATACCCTTAGAATATACATGTGCCGATGTGCGGCACCTCTCTTTGTTTGACGGTGTGAGATTCCCTAGGATATATGTACGAGCACCAAACCTATTAAACTCTTGACTATTATCAGCATATCCATAATATTCTTTTTTATAGTGCTTTCGGTCTTTCAGTCACCAGAATTTGTCGTAAGCTGAACAAATGACGTATAAATATATTTTAATACCCTGCACTGCCATCGTCGACAACCACAATGGGTGGAGTGAGAGGCGAAAAGGGCATACTGAAGCTGGTACGTCCGGGAGGTATTGTTGATCAGTATAACCATCCTATAACAGCAGCTCAAGTAATGGAAAGATACCCACGACACTGTGTCACCAGACCTGACATTTTCGAGTTTCCATGGATCGTTGTTAGACCTGAGTCCGTCCTCGCTCCGGGTCGGGTATTCTTTGTAGTTCCCCACCACACAATTCTTCGCTTGCTTCAATCTAAAGGACCACGGCCACCAACTGAATCTTGAGAAACCCAACACCATATTTAAGAGTATACGTACAACTTTTTGGTGATTCCTTAGCTAGTTTTATAATTGGTTTTCAAATTCCGGTGACTGAAAAATTAAATTAAAAAGAGCTCATGCATGCATGCCTTCATATATAAATGAGCATGTCTGCATGTCGTATGCATGCATGGTTTGCTTGTATGTATAAAATTAGTAAGTCACTACATAGCAATTACCATTGGCATTGTGACAAGTACGGCTTGGTTTGGTCTTTTAGCAATTAATCCTAGTATATATCTTTTCATTTGATCATTTAGCTTTGGATATTGATGCCATTTCAATTTAAAAAGCTTAGTATGTAACCGTTGTAAGAGTTTTTCTTTTAGCAAATTCTCCATTAATTTGGATGGGGACGATATACAGAAACCTTATTATTAAGCCATCCAAATTTGACAACATAGCATGTTAAAGTGGGAAAGCTCTTAAATTTGACTGTCTTTAGTGAAATTAAATCGACTATACTTTGACATTAAATATTCCAGTAATGGTACTAAACTATGACAACCTTTTTAACTGTGACTACTTTAAACTCATATAGCAAAATACCAAGACCGATTAAGTGTCTCATAAATGGTTTTTATGTCACCTTTTGCCACCCCTAGTTAAACCTCAAAGATAACCAAAATATAATGGTTCTTGTATATTGCACTCTTTGGAGATAGATTGTATAACATCCTTGGTTTCCAGAAGTTTCTTATTTCAGGATTGTGGACAATAAATGGATCAAGTAAAGACATTGGACTTCAAGGGAATAAGGTTTAGATCCTATTGGATGTTGATAATTTGGTTATGTGATCTAAGCCCTTGGTTGTGTTTTGGAATCAAAGGGTAAAATGGAAAAAATGATGTTTCAGACTTCTTTCATGAATTAAGGATTTTAGTTCGGTATGTTTTAAGAAAAAATAATTAGCTAGAGCTGTGGGGCTCGTCAATACCTTTTCGTGCATATAAAGATCGCTGAAAACGGAGTTGAAATGAAGAAGTTATGGCTATTTGAAGCTGTAATGGATCTGGGCGAAAAACCGTCGCCACTGAGTGGGGATCAGAGCTCCACAGCATGACAAGCCATAAAATGGAGAAAACGTGGCCACGAAGTGGCAATCTGTCAGGCCCAAGACCATGATTTTAAAGTTTTCAACGTATTTAAGCATAAGGTTCCGCATTTTTGGTCGTTTTAGTAGCCTCCACCATATCTAAAACCCCTTGGGAGGAACCCTAGCCACAATCTTCAAGATTTGAGATTCTTCGAAAGTTTCAAACTGTATCAGTTGAAGTTCAATGGACGTGTCAACATATCGTCAAGTTCTGTATGTTGTATACTTTGGTATGCCGTGTCGGCAGGGTTGGTATTTGGATTGATCCGACCAGGGTTTTAACAACAATTCTGGATAAATTTGGAAGTTTTACCGAGTTAGTTACATACTGGAAGGATCTTTTCAGTTTCAATTAAGGTGTGGGATCATGTTTAAGTTGTTTATGAGAATGTTTCTATTAACGGTTGAGGTTCATCATTTCATTAGATCTATTGGTACTTCACCCTTTGGGTAAGGTTGTGAGGAAGAAGGAATGCAGTAGATCTAGGGTTGGTTGTGGGTTCCTTTGAGGGTATGTATTGTGGTAAGTTCATTAGATATTGTAAGGGGTGTATGTGGGCTGAAGAAGATATCAAGAGAACACTTTGTCCGAATTTATTGGTATGGTTCTTATTTAGTTTACAGCCTTGAATTGGAACAAGACTACAACCGCCTATCTCATTCTCTGGTTGTGTGCGGCCATGTTTTCGTCTGAATATTTTATGTGGGTACCAGCCTGTTCTGTGAAAGGAATTGTGCGTTATAGAAGGGTATGACTCGTGTTGTGTTTGGTCTGGGGAAGTGTAACGTCCCAAAAAATTAAGACTAAAAATTTTCGTTTTTAAATTAATAAAACTATTATCCAAAACAACATCATAGAAATCATGGTGAATCAAAGTGTATCAATAACATCCCAATACATCAGAGTAATATAAAATGCGGAACGAGGTGGTGTGTGCACTGAAATCATTCTGGGCTCTTCCTCTTCGAACCAAAAGTACCTGAAAACATAAACTGAAAACCGTAAGCACAAAGATTAGTGAGTTCCCCAAAATACTACATACCATACATAAATAACATATAATAGGCCCCGCCCGTCATCGGGCCCCGCTCGATATACATATCTGTCAGTCATTAGGCCCTGCCTGGCATCGGGCCCCGCCCGATATACATATAAACAAATAAACATATAATCATATAAGCACATGCAATAATCACAAAGATAAATAGCATATAGGATAGTCATCGGGCCCCGCCGGGTAATCATATAAACATATAACATAAGAGTCACACATACATCTAACATCCTAAACATAACAAACAATGTGCCAAAATTGGTGCCTTCGACATGCTAAACACAGTAAGGAAACTCACCTCTAGCTGCTGAAACACTCAAATGAATCTTGGTCTGCTGGTCCGGAAAATCCTCACGCGAACATAATCAAAATAATATCCAATTAATAGTTGGATCTCGACCCATAATCAAGAATCTAAGCTACTTGACCCATAGCCAGGGTAAAAGACCATTTTACTCTTTTTCTTTGTAGCATCTTGTTTTGAGGTACTTTCACTTTTGACCCTTATATTGAGATTTATTACATTTTGGTCCTTATAATGTAAGATTTGTGGTTGAGAGGGGCTAATATTGCCATTTTTGGAATTGTGGGGCGGAGCCACGTATACTGGGCGTACGTTTGCATACGCAGGGCGTACGGGGTGAAGTCCCAAACCCTAATATTTAGGGTTTGGACCCTATTTATTCATCATTAACTCTCAAACCTGGTTCCTTTCATCAACCTCCATCCTCTCAAAACGTTTTTGCAAGCTCCTAATCTACCTTGTGAGCATTTTTTTAAGCTTGAGTGTGTGTATTTTGTGCCTTTGAAGAAGAAAGAAGAAAGTAGAGACCATCTTGGAGGAGTGAAGCGCTTTAGATCCAGAATCACACCATCAATTTGCATCACTTGGAGGTATAAAGTTCTGAACTTGGTGAAGTTATACTTAGATCTTGTTTTGGGCTTGATTTTATGTTCTTTTGGTCCCCTAAGCTTGGTATTATGAGTAGGTATTACTCTAATCCATTCGAGTTGTCCTTTCAGAGGTTTTGGAGCCTCTTGAGTCATAAAATGTAATCTTGGACACTAGTTTCTTCCCATGCATGATCTTAATGGATTAAGAGGTTAGGATATTTGGTGTTGGGAACTTAATGGGCATGCAAGACCATAAAGTTGGAAACTTTATGGTCAAATACATCATTTTCGACTTGGATCTGGAAAATGGACTTAAGGGCTTAAGGATTAAGCTCTTAATGAGTTGGGTTGGCAGCCGTACGTGGTCAACAGGCTCTTAATGAGTTGGGCTGGGCGTACAAGGCGTACGCTACGCGTACGTGGTCAACAGGCTCGTGCATGGTCAATTGTCGTGTACGCTGGGCGTACAACTGAGTATGTTGGGCGTATTCAGCTGGGTTGACTCGGTTGACTTTTTGGGAATTTTGACTTTTCTTGATTTTGACCAAGTTTGACCTAGGGGTATTTTGGATTGTGTTTGAGAATTGGTCATTTGGATGAATAAGTGACGGTTAGAGTTAAGATTCGGAGTCGGGACCTCATCAACTACTGTTCAAATTGTGAGGTGAGCTCTCCTCACTGTACTTACGAGTCGAAGGCACTAATGCCGGTCCATTGGATTGATATCATGTTATACATTGATTTATGATATGCTGAGTATGGGATATATTTGTAAGATTATATGATAGTTGCTGATATGCATAGACCGGTAGATCTTAGCACTGCCTCTGATTTTTGGCTGCATGCTTATCTGTTTGTTGATTATGTTTGTTATCTGTTATATGTCGACATAGTGTGTTAGGTTGAGAATTTAATGCTATGTGCGTGAGTCAACATACGGGGGTATTCCATTCCGATGACTGAGTGGACCCAAGGGTATTCCATTCCGATGACTGAGTGGGCCCACCGTATATTGGTATTCCAGTTCGATGACTGAGTGGACCTGTTGTATGTTGGCATTCCAGTCCGATGACTGATTGGGCCAGGGGTAATACAGCCCGATGGCCGGGACCCATGGGTATTCCAGTATGATGAATAATTGGACCCAACATATGGTATGTGTTTTGTATGGTGGTACCTTGGGGGAAACTCACTAAGCGTTGGCTTATAGTTTTTGGTTATGGTTTCAGGTACTTCCGAGGATCGTGGGAAGGCGAAGGCATGACCGTACATATCCTGATTTTATGTTATTGATCTTGGGAAACTCTGTTTTGAAAACACTGGTTTTGTAAACACTTTTATTAGTAAATGGGTTGATTTGAAAAGTTTAAATTGGTTGTGATTTTTGAGACGTTACAAGTTGGTATCAGAGCCTTGGTTTGAGCGAATTTGGAGGAACACCCGTGTGAATCCAGTCTTAAACTAAGGAACTGCAAAGGTTTTAAAAATGATTTTTAAAAATTGGTTTAAAAAATAATCAAGAAAGGATGTGATGTGTACGATCAGCCGGAGCCAGTAAGTAGACCCCAAGTTACCACATTGTTATTTAATGTTATGATACGTTAGAACAACATTGGTGATATGCTAGGGATATTTAGGAATTACATGATAGAATTGCCTGATTATATGATGTCTGATAGCTTAGGGTTTCTTCCTTATATGAAATTGACATCATTACTGTAGTTGCTTAGTGTATGCATCAAAAATTGTACATAACTAAGATTTTATAGCCTGGGAATGTTTGATTTGGACTTATTTCCCAATCGTTGTTTAGTTATGGTCTTAAGGTAGAATCAAGTATTCGACTATCTATAGGATCCAATGTTATGCATGATTAGCATACACGAGTGCTGCAGGGTTGGTGAAAGTTTCATGGATG